ACCCGAAAACTTAATGACCAACGACACACCCAAAGAGAAAAGGATTCCAGCCCACAAGCTCTACTCGTAAGCTCTTGACGGTTCACTTTGCTGGGCGTCGTCTGCGACTGTCGAAAGTCCGACAGCCATTCATAATACTGAATCTGAGTCACTACTGTAGAATACTCATGAATTGTCCGTGTCTCTTTGAATGCTCCGAAGGTTGGACTGGGCCGAGCAACTCAAGCGAAAGAGGACGCTGAAGAGGCAGCTCCAGTTTAGGACGAGGGTTTGGATTCCAGTCTGGTGTTGCAGGATTGCGTCAAGTCTGCTGTGATCCGCTTACTGTTTAGACTTGAAGGGCTTGGCTTCAATGGTTTGGACTGCAAGTTTGAGGAATAAGGGTTGCGGCCGTGGGGACTGTCGTGTCTTGGTGGGCTGAGCGTTCAGAAATGTCACTGCCGGCCTCTTGGCTATATCTTGAAATGAAACTTTGAGGGTGTCGGATGGTTTAGTGGGTTTCGTGTTTGAGTTGTGTTTGAAAAAGTATGGCTGTTTGACGTCAGAAGAGGCGGCCAAGATCCTGAAAGAGATTGAAGACTTCAACGGTCCTGACCTCGACGCTTTGGTGGTTCAGAGACTCTACGCGATCTGAATTATGCCTCGGCAGATGCTCAGTTTCCTTCCATGGCTGAAGGTCCAGGAGGATGCTTTTGAGTTTGCACGGATGCTGACATTTCGGGGGAGGAAGTTGACATTTCGAAGATGCAACCTCGCTCGCCCACGGAACCCCTTGCGAGCAGCAGAAGAGTTCACTGAGATGGGCCCCAGACCAACAACCACACACAATCATTCCTGGTGTAAAACGCCACAGCGCAAAATCAGAATCTGGATGCCAAGACCCGAAAGAATGCACCTCCAACTCCTCAACGTTGTCCATTGAGTTTCGACTTTCGAGGATCTGAGGCCAAGGTCTTGATGTCGCAGATGTGGGCGGTTTCCGCTCGGATATGTTGCATCTCCTGTATGCTTGCTGATGGGTTTCAGGCATTGGATTTGGTGAAGGTGTTTCTCCTTACTCGGACTGCGAGCTGTGCCGATCGAGATCAAGACTGCGTGTTCAGGAAGCATTGTTTGCTCCACCCGAGTGTTCGCTCATCATGTCAGTTCTTACTTCGTTTGCATCTGCCTACGATCCTACCGGGCGGAGGATATCAATGCTTAGGAGGGTGCACTGTGAATACTACTTCCCTGACTAGTGGAAGCGCTGCAAGATTTTGTAGAAGCTGCAGGAAGGACCCTGCGTATCTTTCAAGTCTAAAATTTCGGCTCACGGCTAGACTCTCGGTTGTTTGCCGCAAGTGGTTGGCTGCGTTCAGCCGGTTAGCTTGTACGCGAACCGTGTTATCGAAGGGCCCCAGTCATCATCATGCAGGTCTCTGCTCACCCCTGAACCACCATCCCGAAGCCGCAGTTTTTCCCACAAAGCCGTAACCGGCTTAAGAGACTGCTAAGTGCTAAGGCCAAGATCGTGCATTGGACATCCTGGATGCTGCGCACCAGGCGGCACAATTGTCCGGTGTTCCATCATTGAAGAGTCTGCTGCTCAAAAGTCGAGCAACATGAAGATTCCGAAGGCGACAAAAAGTCCGAACAGTCCTGTTGCTGCCTGAATGCCGACAATGCCACATATCGTCAGCTCAAACATGTCGATTCGGAGGCCAGCCATGTGTCTTAATCCGGAAAGCATAACTCTCCAAAACTGAACCTCCGAAATCCGGAAACAAAAAAAAACTAATTTCTGGAGTGGGATTCGCTTAGATAAGATCCTAGCGTAGCTGAAGTATCAATGGTGCGGTCCTCCCTCTCTAGGTTCTCGCCCTCGGGACAAGTCGCGCAGTCGGGGATTCTCCATGATTTGTTTTGCGATCGGGGCTTCTGAGGCTTCGTGCGAATCTGTTGAGGATTGGGTTTTTAATGATTTGGAAGCCTTACAGGGTAGAGTTGTCCAGCAAGATACATGGAAGGACACTGTACCGGTTACGGGCTCAAATCCTCCAGGCACTGGGGCTTCCGACGCGTGCGGACGTCGCTGCGGAGGAGCAGAGGAAGCGGCAGGCAGGGAGCTTCGGGCATTTCGGGCTCGCGATTGGCTCTGCGTTTGCCAGAAGCTGCGCCGTTTCGCACGTGATGTCTTCGCTTGTGTTCTGTAGTTCAGGCTTTAAACTTAGTAGTTGTAGATCATTTGGTTTTTGTGTTTTCCGCATGCTTCGAGGAATGTCAGCATGTCGGCGACACAGGGAGTGATTCCATCGACTTGCATTTAGGCTCTTTGTTGGCTTCGCTACACCAGAATAGAATTCTTTGTTGGGTGTTGTGGAGTTTCGAGGGAAAGCTGGCCATGAGAAGAAGATGAAATGTCTTCAAGGTATTCGTTCTTTAGGACCTCAGATCTCGAAGTCTTGGGCTGGAGAGCAGATGGTCTGATGCTGTTGGTTTTACAACGAAGGGTCTTACAGACATCGGCTCTCAGGACTGCGCATGTACGGGCCTAGCGTAAGCACTGACAAAACCCACAGGAGAAGCTCCGGCTACAGCAGCAGCCTCTTGGCACACTGAGGTGTTGGAGTTACTTTTCAGAGATGCCGCGGTTGGATTCATGCTCGAGTGAGGTTTGTATCTTGGTTCAGCGGCAGTTTTGCCAGAGCCCTCGGAGCAATCAAGCGCTCGAGCCTAAACCTCAAAGTTCGCAAAACCGGAAACGCCACCGAAAAAAATAGAAAGTTTGAAAGGTCACGGGCCCTCCCCTACAATTGCAAGATCAAATTGTTGACCGTGTTGAGTCTGGCATGTCGGTTTGTAGGCTTTGACGGAGGACGTGATTCCACGAGACGGTTTGGGATTCATGAGTTCAAGTGAAACTGAGCCCCCTCTGCCACACGGGAGAATGTTTACGTGCGCAACTGTCGATTCCTTTCAGGACCCCTGTTAAATTTAGAGGTCCCTACCGGGTTCAGTTTACAGGGTCCGAGAGCCTCTTTTACCATGAGAATGAAAATCTGGAGGCAGTGGGCTCTGCAGCAGCTTGGCAGTATTACGACGCAGAGCTAGTGGCACTGCAAGGGGTATCGTGGGGTTGAAATCTTTTGGTAGCCGTAGCCCGGACGTCACCGAGCTGTAAACTCCAGCATTTTCCGTTCGATACTTTAGCCCCAGCCGTCGAACAACTCAAGCCCTGAACTGGCAGTTGAATTCTGAATTGTCACGACATATATTTGATGCAGCATGCATGGTTCATGTTCCTGTCCGACCGAGGAGTTTAGTTTTCAGCCGATTTAAGCCCCCTTTCAGTCGTGTGTTCAGCGTTTCAACAGCATACCTAGGCGCCTGTTGTTTGGGCTATGAAGTCCAACTCTGCAGCCCGACTGCTTGATCCGTGTCAATATCGAGGTACTACCAGCAGCAACAACAGGGTGGGGGTGGCGCGCCACCACCCATGATGCCACAGATGATGCCGAGTCCGGTCCTCAGCCCTGGGATTAGGGAAGCAAGGTTTGCCTTTGGACAGGTTCGTTCTTTGCCGGTTCGATTCGTGGTTCGGAGCTTTCGGAGTTCAAGACAACGTCAGCTCCAGGCGAACTGGAGTAAGGTGACGTTTCCTGTGCCATGCACAACCCGGCCCAGAAAATCAAAGCCAGTATCTCATTGACGTTTGCAGACCCTGGACCCGTAGTCGAGCCACCACGGACCTACAAAGCCCAGAGTTCTCGCTCAGAGGCATGGAAATGCAGGCAGCGCCGCGGGCGAGCTCCGTGGAGAAGGCTCCGGGTTTAGACTCTCGTCTCTTTGGGGTTGCAGGCAGCGCTGTGGTCATCAATCTCGCAGTTTCAGGACGACGGTTTCGGGGATGGCATTGGGCCTTGGAAGCTGTTGGGCGGTTAAACACGTAGTCGCATGATTTGCTGTTCAGGCACCCATCGAGCGCGAGAGCAGTCCGCTCTTGCTCCAGGCCGATCATGAGTTTCATGCGATTTCGGCGTTGTCTCGGGAGGGTGAGCCAGGTCATGCCAGGTCAACCGCCACTCACCGGCTGCATACAGGACCCTAAGTAGCCTAAGTATCTGTAGCTCAATTCGAGGTGTATGTCGGAACTTAAGTCTCTGCTTCGTTTGCTACTCTTTGCATCCAAAGCCCGAGGCCCAAACCCCAAGCCAGCTCTACAGCCCAGCCCGACGATTGGGACAACGATCCTTAGGAAGGAAATGTGATGCTCCGATTTTGTGCGGCGCCTTGTGTTGGTTTGGAAATGTCGGGTTCATGGTTCCAGGTGTTGGCCCCTTTACTCAAAGTCATAAGATTATGTTCGTGATTCCCTTCGTTAACTCCGGATCGCGATATGTTTCTTGTTCTTGCATTTTTCGTTGGTTGATTGGTGATTCTGTTTTTGGTGGTCAGGTCGATCCTTCCAGTCTTATTATCACTTGGTTGTTGTTGTGTTGTTTCCTATGTTTGGGTGCAGTTCTATTTAGTCCCGATGTTGTGTTCATGGCGTTTGGAGTTGTTTCTGCGCTTAAAGTGCCCGTCCGTTTTCAGTTGGACAATGTATGTATGTATGTATGTAAGCAAGCAAGCAAGCAAGCAAGCAAGCAAGCAAGCAAGCAAGCAAGTAAGTAAGTATCTATATATAAATATGTGTATTCTTCCTTGTTGGGGTTGTATTGTTACTACGTTGTCTTTAGCTTCGTTGTTTGATTGTTCTTCCATTTTGGGCATCCCTGTCTTGTGATGGGTTCACGGTCATGAGACATAACCAAAGGACCAGTAAGACTTTAGCGTCGGTTAGCTTGACCTTAATCCTACGACTCGTCCTGCGAGGCGGAGATCTTTGACATGGGTTGGGGGTGTTGCGATTTGGAGATAGAACTCAGGACTCTTGACCAAGGTGATCCATGAACTTTCAGCCCGATTGCATGAAACGTCGCACAGCTAATGGTGTAGTGGCGAGCCTTAACATCTCTGAGGCAGGCATGGACAGCGGAACTATCAAGAGCAAGGTCAACCAGGTCGCGGGGTTGAAGCTTGAAGCATCGCCCTTTTCTAGTGCAGGACCCGGACAGTGTTTCATGCTGGAGGGCAACTAGCTTTGGCATTCACGCAAGCTGCTCCATGGCTTCGGGCCTTGGGTAGGAGTCCAGGCATCTAGATCCACTGGGGAAAAATATTGTATTTTTCGTGGGCATGGGGATCCCGTATTGTTACACACTCGCTGCACGTCTTTGGGCCTTTCGATATGCAGCGAAAACAAGATCTCCACTGGCAACGGCGGGCCTTACGACTGACACGAAGGTTTGGGAGTGGGAACTTGAATGCGCGTAAGTCCGGAAGACAATCTATCATCAGCAAGGGCAATGGTCATGACTTTTATTCATTGTCAAACTACCCAGCCGTTGCTGCCAAGTCCCCTCTGTGTTTCGTTTCTAGGTGTTAGCTCGGGAATACTCATGTTTCGGTTCAGGACTTGCCACGTACGGGCCATTTGCAAGTTTAGAGCCACTGCGAGAGTGAGTACCTGCTTCAGATTGCATCCGCCATCATGGGCAGCGATGAAGATTTCGAAGCGGATACGCCGCTGATGGAGGCGGGGCACACTTGTGATGCGGGTATAAGAAGAACTTGTAGGACTATTTTGAACCATCCAACGCACAGCTTTGACATGAGACACCATATGCTCGAATAAATTGTCGGATGGACCCGTTTATGTCAAGCCTGGTTTGCTGCCGAGATGTTTATGTTGTGGGGCAATGTTTCTGATTTGGTAGCTAGGGTCTTTGGAGCAATAGCGTCTTTTGGTCGGGACTCGGGGTGAAAGATTATCTGGGTTTAGCGGCGTGTTCACCGATTCTCTCGATAATTTAGGGTTTCGATGCTGACATGGCGTTGCCTAGCTCGCTTGTTCAAAAGATGCCCAGGAATGAAATGCCTCATGGGAACGACACACCGGGAATTCCAAGCTGTATACAGTTCGTATCCGAGGGCCCATTGTACAGTGGCATGGCAGGCGTCAGCTTTCCTTACATTACATGTTCTTCAGCAAGCAATCACAAAGCCCAAAAGTCAAAATCGAGATCGGCTCGCTTGGCACCCAAACTCCTAACGGTGACTAATTGCGTTTCCTGAGCCAGAAACAGGCCGGGCTAACGTCAAATACTGCCGTCCTTCTTCGCGATGAGCTGACAAAGGACCTGTTCGGATCTCAGCGACGTTTCGAGTTGGCTTTGGGTATCTATTTTGGGGCTTAGGCGGTACTGGCTTTAGGTTTGAGGTTTGTGTCCGTGTTCGCTATCCCCAATGATGTTTCTGTGTGGATGTCAGGACAATGCCTGTAGGGATGCGTTAGGCCGACATGCAAAAACGCTGGCCGACTTGCAGCGGTGGCTGTCCGAGACGCAAAATTTTTTTTGGCCGATGTTTGCGGTCGGCTGTCCGAGATGCAAAGAACTCTGCGGCCGATGTTTGCGGTTGGCTGCCCGAGATGCAAAAAACTTTGCGGTCGATGTCTGCGGTCTGCTGCCTGAGATGCAAAACGTTTGTGGCCGATGTTTGCGGTCGGCTGCCCGAGATGCGAAAACTTGGTGGCCGTAAGGCATGCCAACACCTCTGATCTTTGTTGGTTTGGTGATTGGGGTTAGAAGGTTTAAAGTAGGTGTAGTGCAACTTTAGTACTGCAAATGCCTCGTTTGGGTGGTTGTAGTACAGCTTTAGTACTGGAAATATAGCAAAATAGTAAAACAGTAGATAAGAGGGCCGACATGCAAGGGTGGCTGCCCGAGATGGAAAAACCACGTTCCGCTTGTACGTGGCAGTATGTGGTAGTACGTAGTAGTAACTGGTAGGAGTACGTGGTAGGAGTACGTGGTAGTAGTACGTGGTAGTAGTACCTGGTATAGTACGTGGTAGTAGTGTGGTAGTACGAGGCCGACGTCTAAGAGCGCTTGCCCAAGATGCAAAAACTTTTTTGTATTTCGAGCAGCAAACCCGAAACATCCGCCGCGGCAGTACTGTCTGTGGAGTGAAATAGCAAAATAGCAAAACAGTAGAATAAGAGGTCCGACATGCAAGGGTGGCTGCCCGAGATGCAAAAACGACGTTTCGCTTATACTTGGTAGTACGTGGTAGTAGTACGTCGTAGTAGTGCGTGGTAGTAGTGCGTGGTAGTAGTACGTGGTAGTGTGTGGTAGTGTGTGGTAGTACGTGGTAGTATGTGGTAGTACGTGATAGTACGTGGTAGTACGTGGTAGTACGTGGTAGCCACATACTGTCACGTACTACCACGTATAAGCGAAACATCGTTTTTGCATCTCGGGCAGCCACCCTTGCATGTCGGGCTTCTTATTCTACTGTTTTACTATTTTACCATTTTACTCCACATACAGTACTGCCGTGGCCCATATTTGATGCAAAAATGTTCTTGCATCGCGGGCAGCCGCTCTTAGACGTCGACCTCGTACTACCTCGTACTACCACGTACTACCACGTACTACCACGTACTACTGCATACTACCACGTACTACTGCGTACTACCACGTACCACCACGCACTACCACGTACTACCATGTACTACCACGTACTACCACGTACTATCACGTACTACCACGTACCACCAAGTACTATCACGTATTACCATGCTCAACCATTGCCACTACCACGACCACCACCAGCACCACCACTACCACTTCCAAGAGAAATACCACACTGGTTCTGTCAGATGCCAGTCAATATTTACAATGCTTAGCTAGATATATGCCTTTTGTGAAGGAAAGGGTTAGCGTTGCTGTCCCATTGTTATATGTACCGCACCTGTATGGGCACTGAGTTTGACACACGGTTACTTTCGGGACGATCATGAATGCTGTGACAGCTACAGTTCGACTGAGATCTGATAATTTCGAAAAGTTTTTAAAGGGCATTCGTCGGCGTGTTGCATACCACACACGGCAGGCAGCCAAGTTAAGAATTGTTGCAAATTGGCAATCTCGGCCTGGCCCCTAAACTCCTTGAGGCCGGGCATCAAGCTGCCACCGACGCTCATTTTCGACTATCCTTCTGTGGCCGCGGCTGCCCTGAATTAGAATCCTCGGTTCAAGGTTTGAGGCGATAATTGGGGCACAGTGGTAACCGTAGGTCTACGTGAGAAGTTGAATCGTGCTTTGACAAGTGGAACTCCTACTGCACCTTCTAAGGAAAAGAAGGTAGCAAAGGTAAAAAGGTAGACTCTCTGGATGTAGAAGCATAGCGGCAGGTTGACAGTCCTGCAATGCAGTACTCAAAATCCGTTACGTGAACCTGCTTTCGGAGGCTCCTCTCGATCGAGAAGTTTCTGTAGGCCTGTTGGCCTCCCTATTTGTTGGTTGCCGGAAAACGCTAAAGGCTAGGCAGCACTCTTCAACGGTGGCTGTTAGTGTTCACTTGTTAGCCCAGGCAATCACGGAGTTCGTTATGGACCAAAGCAAGATGATTGCCGGTTGAGAGCTGAGCACCAACATCCGGTCGCAACATCCAGATCATCGAACTGTGCTTGTTTTCTCAAAATCCTACGGCCCATCTTGCTGCGATTGCCTTTTCTTATACCACCAGTGTTCTGAACAACAGCCTTAGACGCAACGCTAACACTTGACATCATGCACCTTAAAGTCTCGAGCACTCAAAAGATAATCTCCTGTATCAGAAATAGACAATGTCCGTGCTCACGCGGCATAAAGCACTGGCCTCATACGAGAAAACGGTCTAGAATCATAAATTGCGGCCTGGGTTGTGCAATTGATTTCGCTGTCAGCTCGCGTACATTCCAACTTTCGGTGCTAGCCTACGACATGCTTCGCCCGGATGAGTGTGCTTGGACATCCCTGAAGGGACATCCGACACAGTGGGAGGTTTCTGAAAGTCTGCAACTTAGGGAGCAAAGGCTTTAATAAGGGTTCGTGCTTGACATTTGGGGAGTGAGCAAGGTTCGTGCAAGCGGTTTACGACTGTTGCCGTGAGAGCTTACAGATGGCGTGGATCTAGGTTTCATTGCCAACCCTACAGGTTCCACCCATTTGTTGGAGAGTTCCGGGCTTCGGTTGAGACCCACCCAGTGGTTAGTCGTTGAGGGCGGAAAGAGACTTCACCGGGCCTTACGCTGAACGGATCTTGGCCGGGCTGTAGGCTGAAACCAGTTGTTTTTTGCGATTTGTAGGTAGACTGCAGAAGCCTCCCCCTTCCCCATGCTTCTGTGCATCAAATATCTTCCGTGCACTAGAACATCTTAGCAGCGAAGACATGCCGTGGACATCCGCGACAGACCCTCTTTGTCGGTAGCTTGCAGAACAAGGATTATTCATGGAGTCCTGCGCGTGCCTGCTTCTCCTTGTGGGTTCCGCCATGGAGTTTCTAAAAGCACTGGTTCTAAATGCTGAACCGTCCAAGTCTAATTAGTGGCTAGCCTGCCGTAGCCATATGCCGTGGCCAGGATTTAAGTGTACGGCTTAGGGCTCAGGATCAGCACCCTTAAGCTGCAGCTGGTGCTTGATTCCAGAAGGTCTGCAGCAGGTGCATGCTGCATACTCACAGTGTTTAAACTGGGTGAGAACCAGCTACGACAGGGCAAATCCGAACCTGTTAAGGGTTGCCTATGGTTGCCTGCAACATCACAGCATCTTGCCGCTTCAGCCGGGGAGCAGTGCCCCAAGAGTTGCAGAGAAGCGATGGAAAAGGCGTGAATGTTTCTGCTCGGACGGGTACTAGCCTGTGCTTCCCTGCGGGATAGAGCTGATTCCGGGACTTGCACAGGGATTGAAAGCTTTTATCTTGCGGTGCAAGCTGGAGCCGGGAAGTTCAATAGTGGATGAAAAATACATGTCAAACTCAAATCCAAACAGCTTTATCACTGAACATCGAGCCGTATCCTCAACCTTCGAGCTTGGTACTGTGGGTTCATCGGCCTTCGAGCCGGCCTTGCAAGGGAGGACACTCTGCCACCGTGTCGCCTGCGACCTGACCCCATGAAGCACGGGCTCGTTAGGCTTGCAATGCTAGAGGCACCGTATGTAGGTAAGGGTATGGTGGGGGAGGGTAAGGCAAGGTCCCGCTACGTCATGCAACGCATTGCAGTGCTTTGGATTACATGCTGGTTGTGTTTGTGCTGATTGTGCTGCTGCTTAGCCGTTCCATGCAGTGAGACCTTGCAACCTATTCTGACATGCTGCGCCAACGCAAGCCACAACCCAGACAATTTTGCAACGCCAGCATTCCCACGTTTGGCATCTTAGGGTCCAGCCAGGGCTGCATTTGCATCGCATGCTTTAGCGCATGCAGAAGTTGTGGTGATGCGGAAATACCTGCTGTCCCGAGCTCAGAGCAAGGACCTAGCTCAAGTGCTTGTTGGTCTAATTAGCCTAGTGCTCACGCATAGTCACCATCAAAGGAGTCGACGATGCAATGCAGTGATCTCTCCAGTTGTATTCACTTGGGCTGCGACTCCTGGGATACCGGGCATGGCTTGGGTTCAGGCTTTCGTCGGCATGGCTTTGGCAATGCCGTACCGGAATCATGCCCTGAGTGGTCAGTGAGATCTTTCCGTTTCGGTCAGGTTCAGTCATGCATGAATGCAGCCAGGCTTGATTGCAGAATCGAACTTGTGCTGCTCCCATTGCTGATCGATTGGGTTCGGGTGCAGCGTGTTGAGACTGTAACTGTTCGGGCTTGTGCAGCAGCAAAGGTCGGCGAAAGAGTGACGGTTCCCACCTCTCTGTTGATGTCTCCCCCAGAGAGCCCGGAAGCGACCCTCAGCACTCCACAGGAGCAGAACTCGTAGGCGAGAGCTGAAGCCGAGATACCAAAGGCCCTGAGACGCCCGCAATTCTGCATTTGCCAACTCGAGGCCAAAACTCCTTCAAAGCCACGACTTTGCCAACTCCTCATACAACCGTACTGCTGTCTTTCTTCCTAGCATCACCCAGTCTCTGCAGTCCTGAAGCACCCGGCCCAAAACCAAAGCCTAGCAACGCCTAGCAACGCTACAAAGCTTCAAGTCCAGAGTCCAAAATCAGTGCAACGCGTGATGCCGCCTGGAAAAGGTTTCTTGCGCTGATACTTTCCCTCACCTGGGACGCCGCCACTCACTCAGCATGATTCTTGTGATTTTGCGTCCATGCAAGGTTCTCGACCGGAAGTGCTCGCTTTGAAACACTGAACTCCCCGAAGTCC